CTAATGTAACAAAATAGCTGGGAAGTTTGGGTCATGACCTAGATCTGGAGCAAGTCCAGAGACGCCTTGGATCCTACTAAGGCGCAGAGAATATTTCAGCAAATAAAAATTAAAGCCGCCCCTCCTGTCACTGCTCCATATCACACGATACTGTTTGATTCTGACATATTTGCAATTACAGGGTTATGCATTTGGGTTCCTGCATGCTTTTGTCTCGGACATGTCTGTCCCCTAAATGACACGAGATCGCTGGAACCTGCGCTTTGCTTTTTACTGTGTGCAAATGGGACATTAGGCTTGTCTTGCTTTTTCTTTTTTTTCTATTCCCCTCCCCCTCGGAGCCTGACATCATTTATATCTGTCATTCCCTACAAACAAGACGTGGGGTATACACACATTGATAAATGGCGGAATAAAAAAAAAATCAAAGTGTAGCAATGCATGTGCAAGCTACTGGTTTCTCCAAAAGTGTGTTGTGATGCTTGAGGTAATTATTGTGAAGTTATTTCTTTTTTAAACTGGGGATTATGTTTTAATATTTCAGCCACTCTCCTCTGTTTTGTTGTCAGAATATTTTTTATAAATCTCCTGCTTTGTCATGCCACTATCTCCACATTAGCCCTGAGTGTGTGTCTGATTAATCAGCTGATTAATCAGGTGCTTTTATAATTTAGCAGCCTGAAGCCTATGAGAAAGCCCTTGACCATGAAGGCAGCATAGGTGGACGTTTAAGCAAAGGGGGGGGTTCATCTAAGACAAGCAACAACCTCTACAGCCACTGTGGATATATTTAGGTCAGCGTTGATTTAGCTGATGTCAGTGTGCATGTTAGTGACATTCACACACAGACTGAACTTGGAGTGTGCCAGCCTATTGTCTTACCTGTGGTGAAGAGCACAATTGCCTTTAAGCAGCTATATTCAGCAGAGTCAACGTGCAAAGCTTTGAGCTTTTCCACTTGTTCTTGAAAGATCCTAATGTGGTCCATAAAGGCCACCACTCTGTCCGCGGACATGGGGGAGGCGTGAAGGCCAGCCGCCGCCAGGAGAGGAGCCACATGCAGGGGCATGGAGCACTGCGCGGCGTTGAGCACAAATAACTCACTCCACGTCAACCTCAGCAGAGCCACCTGGTCTGTGATCTGAAGGTCTGGAAAGAAGGGAATATTCCTGGCCCACTCCACGGCGCTGAAGAGCATCCTGGCTGCTAGTTCACAAATGTTCTCGATGCCCATTATGTTGTTGGGTTGCATGCACTGACTGCCATACCGGGACGTCGGGTAGGGCTCCGCTCTCAACAGAAGAGAGATATATCCGGATAAGTAGGAATGGCAGTGCAGTGGGTCTCCATTTGTCAAGGCGAACTGACCGTGGTGTGGCTGTGTGGGTGGCACCCGTCCCCTTTGCACGGCTGCAGTAAAAAGAGAAACTACAGATATTGAAGCCTGAATTCTACAAATCATCACACAATAACACCGTGAACACACACACACACACACACACACACACACACACACACACACACACACACACACACACTGCTGTCATATATTGTACATTTCAACTGACCACTCACTGAAAAGCGTACACCTTAAGAAAATAAATGACACACAGCATGTTTGCCATGTAACATCATAACACACACACACACACATACACACACGCACGCACGCACACACACCCACACACACACATTATGATATTGCATAGGAGTTTATAAAGCATGGATAACAATGAGGCTGTGGTGAGACAAATCATGTGCTGGAGCAGCAGAGGTGCGCTTTAAACACCACAACACATGCATATGTCCAGCTTTAAAATGATGTTATTCGGCAACAGCAACATGAGCTGGCTGTGAAGGAACACAAAGAGGGCAAGGGAGACCTTGCATGTTTAACCCTTAACCTACTTAGCAATTCATCTCGCTTTACCATACATGCAGGGCCTATTTTCGACTAATATTCAGATAAATTCTCACGGCTACACCGAGGCTATGTGTGCACAATTCCCTCCGATGTCCAGCTTTAGACACAGTGCACAAGACATGCGGGATAGATGTGGAGATGTAGCCTGAACACGCTATCTCTTAATTCGATACTCGCCATAATAGCGCAGGAGGCTATATTGTATCATATTCAGCACAGATGTATCCCCCACGGCTCGTGGCTTTATCTAAATATAAATTCGATAGCCCAAGCGTATAGCCAGGGCTCGGATCTTATTTGTGAAATGCATTGCTATAATGCGCTGGAGCTGCATACTATGATACAACGGCTAAAAGGAAGATCCGGCGAGCCCCGTCTCCACCACAGCAGAGAGCGGCTCCATGGCGTGCTCCTGCCGCACAGCCTGGGAGGGAAGAGTCGGGAGAGAGCACAGACTATGGGGGCGACATAGGATGGTTTTCATGTCTGGAAAAGCCTAAAAGCACAAACACACACATGAATAAGAAAACAAAAAGTCCCAATACCTTCCCGTCTCATGCCGACTTTGAGGCATTTTTTGAGGCGGCAGTACTGACACTGATTGCGGTGGTGTTGGTCGATTGGACAATTCCTGTTGGCACGGCATGTGTAAGTGAGGTTCCGTCGTACGCTCCGTTTGAAGAAGCTTTTGCACCCCTCGCAAGTAAACTGGCCATAGTGTTTGCCACTGGATTTATCCCCACAGACCACACATTCAATGTGCTGTGGCTGTTTCTCCGACTGCTGCGTCGTCTGGTTCGTCGGCGTGGACTGTGTGTTGTTCGGGGGTCCTTGGACCGGAGTCTGAGGGGTCGGAGGGGCGACCTGAGAGGCTGTCAGATTCAACTGGCCTGGTTGAGGGGTGGGAAGAGATAGTCCTCCTTGGGTTTGCGAGGAAAGGGTGCCTTGGGTGTCAGCCACATCGTCCTGGGAGCCTCTCCACACTACCATTGCCATATCTATCAGTCAACGTAAAGAAACTTTTTGTCTGCCGTTTTGGTGTCGCGGTGGAGAATGTCTCAAGGAAACGCGGTAAACTGTGATTAACAGCCGGACACACAAAATGTCAAATCTAGCCTACGTTGAATCCACTCAGAATCTCCCGAAAACTGTCGATTTATTGCTCTTGGAGACGTTGCGAAGCACGTTTTCAAAACTGATGCGATGGCGAGCTGAGTCGCTGCCTTGCGCTTAAAGGCCAAGTCCAGGGGCGCTTACAGTCAGCCATCCAGTACACCCATCAATGGGAAATGTAGGCTAAATATTAAAAATAATCAACCGAGGTAGCATGGACTATTCAGTGAATGATGGAGCAGGGTTGGTGAGACCGTGCCTGCAGCAGCAGAAAACAATTGGTGAGCACACTGTAGCAGCTACTATCAAGTTCCAGCACAAGTCTTGAAGAAAATCACCAACTGGGTAAAAAAAAATGCGTCTTCTTCCTTTTCTTCTTGTGAGGTAGCGCCAGCAAGCGCGCAGCTGAAGCCAATGTTTTTTTGGAGAGCCTGGAATATGAAGACAACTCTTCCCCCAAAAAAAGCGAAAGCACCAAAAAACAAAAAAACAAAAAAACAAAGATCACAACCTACAAACCTCCTCCGTGCACTGAAAAATAATAGGAAAAAGGAGTAGAGAATCAAAGTGATCAAATATGTTAAAAAGGCGGAGGTTAGGAAGTGATTTGCGATTGGTAGGAGCCGGGCTGGCAGAATGCTTTCTCTCTGATCAGCTCACTGAGCTCTCTATATAGTGAACTTTGACACGACTGCTGCAACTTAGCACACGTTACCATGGAGATCAGCTGCCATATAAGGAAGGAGAGTGTGTTTGACTGGTCAGAGCTCAGGGACCTCCCCCTGAACCCCATTGGCTAGTCGGCACTTGTGCTACTTGGTACCTTGCCAGAGCCAGCATGGAGGTCGAGAGGGCCGCTTGGTCCTAAAAAGAGACGATTTTCAGAAAGAGGAATCATTTCTAGTCACTCAAATCGCCCAGACTATAGAATATACTCACATTTCCCCGGCAAAGCTTTAGCAATTGCATGAAGAAAACACAAAATCATAGTACAATTCTTCGCCTCGCATATCCAAGGGTTGCCTTATAGCAGAAATATCCACAGAGATGATCTCCTCGAGACACAGGTGCACCTTCTGGACATGATCTGTGCTCATTACTATAAAACTGTCAATCTGTTGTGCCCTAATCTTCATCCTTTAGGTATGTGCACACAGAATTCACCACCCAGCAAACACACAGGAATAAAAATAAAGCACAAAATATGCCAGTCTAAATGAAAATTACCATTATTTAGGATAACTGCAAATAAAACAACACATGAGGTCATATTTGAGTGATGCACATGCATACAGTAAAGCCACATGCTGGAAAAGGGCCACACTCATAACACCATGCCTCCTGCATTTCCTCATTTTTCCTCCAACTTCCCTATATTTGCACAGGCTACTGCACCTATTAGCGCTTCTAATCGCACCAGGTACCATTCATCACAATCCACACCTCTTATAAAAATGTTATGATAGGCTACTGACATCATCTGGACACCCGCTGCAGCCTGCTAATCCCTCACGGCCGCAAATACCCCCCCACAACATCAGGTCAGAGAGGCCAAATCTGGGTCTCAAAAGTCAGAGCTTCTTTTTCTTCTTTATGTGGTCAAAACGTGAAATGACTACAGCTTTAAATAAGGGACTACATTTAAAAACGTCCCTAAGGGTCAAAGGCCGTGCCCTTCACATTAAGGTTAGGATGAAAGTGAAGTCCTGATGAACAACGCTGTAAAAGCTGTTTTATAATAGCTGTCAGGTGTTGCATTATAGTAAAGATAATGTATAGTTTTTGGGAGATGATGGCAAACACAGTGCAGGATGCCGTGCATGTAAAACGGGGTCAGTGGCTGCTCAGAGTTGCAGCCTACCTGGTTAATATTTTGTCAGGCTTGTATTTAAACAGCGGTAAAGACTGGTTTACTTAATGCCCCCAGACTATCAGAGTTGAACTGCAGGTAAAAACTTCACGGAGCCATACAGATGAACCTATAGCCTGGGCTGTGTGTTAGTCTACAGAGAGAGCAGCACAGGCAGCAGCAGCAGCATGCATTGTCCCAGGATGTATTACAGTATATGGGTGCCCCCTAGCGTATGAAGTTCTCGCTTCAAATAAGATTCAATTTAGAGGAGCCATCCGACACGGAAACTGCTTCAGTCTCTTCTCCCGCATCGACCAAACTAACGAGCACCATTTTAAACTGATGACTGTTTGTTTAAATTCTGTTTTACATGACTTGGACGGCAAAGCTTTGAGAGTTGCCAAAGTTGGATTTACTTTTTGCCACTTCAGGCAGTCCCAGCGGTGGTATTTAGACCAATTATGTCTTTATTCTAAAACAAATGAGCCGATTATATTTTGTCTGCATGACTATTTTGTCGGTTTTATTTACAGAACCCCGTGAAAATGGAGAATCTGTAAATAAATAACACTCCGAAAAGGTACCCATTTATCGAGGAGCCAGCTCCAAAATGGTAAGTATACATTTTGCACACTTTATTCAGATAAAATCGGCAAAAGTAGCGATGCTTTATTTCTCAGCTTTAAATTAAATGTGGTCAAAATAAGCGGGTAGACTCGTGTGTTGAAATAAAAAACATGTACTGCTGCAGACAGAGCATATAGTAGCGAACATATACGATGTTTCCAGTGCGCATTGCACACGGGCGACTCTGTTAGGCATTTTCGCGTCTATTATCCAAGTGTTAATTTATATGATGCTCACAATAAGCCCAACCACTTCACAAATACCCATTCATAAAGTTATTTGATAGTGATAGAGAGGCAGGAGGCTGTATTCTTATAGTAACAGACCTACCAAATGCATATGTTGCTTCGTCCGTAGCGGGATGCATCTTCTCTCTTATTCAGAATATATTTTGTCTTCTCTTTTTCGACACAGTGCTCAGAATGAAACTGGCAAAGCTTCCTCTCCAACAGACCCGGGATCAAACACAAAAAAGGCACGCTGTTTATTGGAAAATTTGCAAATGTCTGATCATGCGAAAACTTTGGAGAGCCGGAACAAACCCAACTGATTCACGTCAATGTGTTGCTGTTGAGCGAGCAATTTGGAAATATAACGTTGAAGGTGTCTTCCCGAGCTGAATATCATTTGACTTGCCTCTGGAAATGACAAGTAGGCTTTCACAGCAAAGCAGAGATCCTGTGCGCCTTTTCTCTTCTACAGTAATATGGCCAAAACGCGCTCGTACGCCGCTGCTTTGTGTGGGCTAACTGAGGAGAGAGGGAGGGGGTGAAGTCAGAACAGACACCTGTCTTTAAGTGTGGCGAGCAATGCATTGAGACATTCTGCATATTACAAATTATATGGAGATTGCAACTTAAGATGCAATAAGACATGTGATTAGAGCTGCAATTAAAACCTGGCTTGATTTTAATTTTAATTTTCAAATAACCACCCACCAACTAAAACACCAATGACTATTGTGATATTATTATAATCATTATCATCATTAATTGGCTTTAATTAATATTAATAATTATAATGTAAAATTATTGCATCTACATTATACAAAATAAAGACACAAGCGTGTAAATAAATAACAACATACCTCTCTTTTTTTCACAGCTACACCTCCAGCAATTATACATTATGCAGAGAATACACAGGCCTATATAATGAAATGATAATAGCCTCAATTAACCTCGCGTAAATCTATACTGGGTTGAAAAACTAAACACCTTTTTTTTTTTTTTTTTTAAACATTTCCAAACCAACACAATTGATTTGCTATTAAACACCCCCATCCCCTCCGAAAGTCTTGTGCTGCAGTTTTTTATTTCCCGGGTTTAAAAGTTTCCTCTGTGTGATTAGTAGTTGTTCTCCCCTTCAAGCAGAGGATAAAAGCACTATATGCTCAGCAAGCCTGCGTGCGCACAACAATAGCGCTGCCCAACGGGAGCAGTATCGATTAAGACGAGACAGAGGATGTCGCCTGCACTAAATATTTACTGATCACACACAAATAGCTGGATCTTTAACGATTTCCCATGCACCGGCTGGGAGAAAGGACTAAATCACTTTATTATTGTTAGTAAAACAAAGCACACGCTCTGGAACACAGGAGTGGAGATGTGCTGATTGGGATAAGTGCAGTTAAATTAATCGATAGTGAGTAGATAATAGTTGAGATTTACGGCCGTGCAAAGAGAAAGCTTTCACTCATGTATCAGGTTAAAACTGACACGTGCACTGCGATTGGTAATTCTTCTTATATGGCAGGACGCGCGCACTGGTCAAAACAGGGGTAGATGCAACAGATTATAGGCGACAACTATGCAACTATCGGCGTGAGTAGGGTTAAAAAAAATTATAATAATTTAAATTCTTTTAAAAATCATTTGCATAGATAAAATCAAGAAAATGATGGTTCCTCTGATGGCAAGACATCTCTCTCACACTTGCGTAAAAAGTCAAAAACTAGGATGAAAGTTGACTTTAATCTCATCTCTGCCGTCACCAAGTCCCTCATGGAAGATAGGGGGGATACTGACCCGGAGGTCTCCAAGTTCCCGGCCTGATTAACCCCTGCAGACCCACGCAGGAGCAAATGTTAACCAGGCTAATCAACTTCAAGAGTCTGATTGAATTAGATGACAGTGGAATCAGGACAGAAAATAAATTGTCCCACTTAAATATTTTTTTAAAAAAGGGTGAGAAATAGTCTCGATAATTGACTCAATTTAAATTAACGTAAAATATTAAAAAACGCAGGAATTAATTTCACATAACACAAAAGATGGTTTACTTGTTAACAGGCAACAGGTTTCAGCAACTTTTAATATTCAGAAGTCTCTTTAGCAGCCAAATATGGTTTGTTTCCTGCTTGATAAAGATAACTTGATTGATGGTGGCTGTGCCCCATATGTCAGTTTTATCTGCTGCATTGCATAATATCAATCAGTGCCCTCTGGTAAGGACTCTGTCTCTTGTCTCTTTATAGCACAGCTTGTTTTTTATGCTGCTTATATGCAAAAATAATAAATAAAAAAGGGGGGAAAAAAGGCCAATTACCCAAATGTGTGCGTGCACATTTGGCTTCATTTAGGTGAAGAATATTTGCTGACATAATTAAAGTTTCAAGAAGCTACTTTGGGAAGAAATAAGCAAAACGTGGGCTAAATCTTCTATATTTTAGTATTAAAAATTTAATTTTATAAAAAATTTCATAATTGTGTGGGGATAAACTGATGAACTCAAGAGTAGGGATATTTTGAGATATTTTTTATATATATGTGTGCAATTCTTACAGCATATAGTGTGTTTTAATTCACCTTACCTTCTTCCTCTGTGCTTGCAGAGGTGACTCTTAAGCTTTTACAGACTTTAATGACAAAACTTGTCCTTTAAATTATGTTTAGGTCTTTTTGGCTTCTTAATAATATGTAATTACAGAAAATTGCATTTCATTATCACAATTAAAACCCCCTCATTGTAGATACGGTGTGTATGTGTATGCGTTTTGATTGTATGCATGCACATGTAAGTTATATGGAGGCATTTATGAGGAAAAAGGTGTATAACATTTATCTTTGTATGCTTCAGTGTAAGCAGACATACATGTCTGAGATGAGACATAAAGAGTTCATTCAGTGGCGTAGATCACTTTCTCTCTGTCTGCATGCCCCAAGGGCCGCTATCTAAAAAGGCAATAGATCCCAGATAGCTCACTGTGTTCAATTTGCCAATGATAGATTATAGTGCCAATTTAAACAGATAGGGATCAATTTGTCTCAATGATCACTCTTTAGGCTGACTGCCAGCATGCTCTTAATGTATTTGTAAATGCTGGTTGTCTGAATTGCGGCTGTTAAAGTGATCAGAAGTGTAGAATGGAGAGATGAGATGAGAAATGGTAAATGATGTGTTGATTTGGCTGCTAAAGACTGCACTGATGGAGCATGCGTGATCATTACTTGAGGCAGCAGCAGCATTGTAGCAGCAGTGACCAGAAGGTCAATGGTTTAACTCCAAGGACTCGCTGGGAAAGTCTGGGTGTGGGGAATTGTGTGATAAGTGCTCTCTAACCCTCAGGAACTACTGCTGAAGTACCCTTCGGCAAAGCAGCTTAAACCCCATCTGTCCCAGTGGAGCTGCACAGCGACCAGCAGGACAAGACTGCGGTTGTAACGGGCACTTGTGAGATGTGTCTCTTTGAGTGTGACCTACCCTCCCTTTTCTTTTTAAAAGAGGGAGAGTGGGCAGTCCACTCGCCTCACACTTTTTTTTTTCATGTACTCAGACAGTGAAAAAAGTTTGGGAGAAGACACAAGAGAGAAAGCTGTGGCAGCATTCAGTCCTGAGCCAGACACTGTTCACATGTGGCCCCAAAGGCAACAGACGGTGTATTGAATTACTGTAACTCAAGGTGTAATGTGGTAGCAGTGTGGGATATGTAAGAATTACACAAACGGATGTAGAGGAGGCTTACTGCAGCTTCAGCTTTCTATTACAGCTATAAAACGTTCAACTGTGTGCTTTATTTTCTTAAATTTCACCTATAACTAATCATAAGTTAAAATGGCAGCCACACTTTCTGTAGCGATCACAAGTGTCTAATTATCATTAGATTTACCAATTATATCAAACTGCTATCATCATGTGAACACCTGATATCTCTCCGTTTTGTGATTTTCATGTGTTAATTTCCATTTAAGACGTACATGGTTTGTAGTGCGAGGAGGAAACACTTCAAACAGCGCTGGATAAACTCATAATTCCATGTTGGTAAACTTCAAACCGTAGCTGTGTTTCTTATGTGCTGTGTATAATTGCAATTTGCAGTGTCACACCTGCCACATCTATGACTAATAAAGTGTTAAAACATCACATGAGCTGTGTTTTAACTGATTTTCTTTATACAGCACCTATGTTGTACACTTGCATTTCAAGAATAGATGTATTTTCCAGTTTTACAGTTGACTGTAAGTGTGTAAATAAAGCTTTCTGTCTTTCACTGGAAGTATTGTTTCAACTGTATGAGACATGCAGATCTGTAATGATAGGTTGGGAACACTTTGTTAAATCATTCTCTATATAAGTCAGACTTTGCCTTCACTGTTTCTGCAGGCTATCTAGATATAAAAAAAATACACTGGATTTAGGAAAACCCCTTTGCAAATAAGAACCTGACAGTCTGCACTGTGTGATGATAGCATCTTTCTGTGGCGGAAATGTGAAAATTTGTGGAGAGGTTGTTAAGAGTATGGTACTCACATTTCCTGAAATGGAAACATAGCTGTAGTTAACACTAAAATTAACAACAGTAACACATTATATCAGGCACTTCCACCACTCCCAAGCCTAAAGACTGCAGGCTGAGAAATCAATCAAGCTGAAATGTTTAACATAAGAACGCATCTCTCTGTGAAAGTGCTGAAGACATAATCTGCACAACCACCAACGAAACCAGCAGCCTGTGAATATTGAAGACATTAACTACACCTCGACTTCCACAGGTACTGGTTCAACATTTGTGAATGGAACGTAGCAAATATTGCCATTTGGGGGGAGGGGGTTTCAATCACACAAATCCACATGTGATCAATGGTCCTTGTGAAGTGATGGAGGGAATAAAAAGGGAATGGGGTTTGATAAGACCTGCAATGACTCCCAATGAAAAAGGGGAAGATTTTCTTGGTGCAAGGATGACCTCAAGGGGGAAAAGCCATTAAAAAAAAAAAAAAAAAAAAAAAGGAATTACTTATTCACAGGATCCTGGTTACTTTTCATATGAGGATACGCAGGAGCTGCTTGTAGAGCTCACACCACCAGAGTCAATACTCCCAGGATGATGTCATCAGAGTCAAATCTTAGACTTGCACCGCTGACAATAAATTGAGAGGGGATTTGTGGACATGTGATAGTGCCCAGAGGTTAGAGGAAGACATGACTTAATGTGCTCTCAGATACATGCAGGAGTGACCAGTGTTTATTTGTAATGTACCAGTTTATGAGTCCTGCTAATAAACTAGTCAGTAAGGCAATCATTGTAAACTTATATAAACCTTTTGTCTGTTTGTGTGTCATATTTTACTATGTTTATTAAGTGTACACTCACCAACACTTAAATCTTATATCATGCAACACCTCATAAACAATGCAGTCAATTTTAATCTATTTAGTCTATAAACCTGTGCGGCTATAGCAAATTATTCTATCACCAAATTTGAAAATGTTATCCATGTATGTTAGAGCAAATCAGGATGGTAATTGCGTACTTTGTGTGGTGTCACACCAGTGCAGAGGTCAACAAAGAGCACACGAGGAATAAGTATTCAAGGCTGTGCCGTAGTGAGCTGTCAAAACAAAATGCTGCACTGCTGTAATGTGAAGCTGACTTAAAAGTGAATATCTATGCACATTTTTTTTCCATAAAGTGTGACTCTATATCATCGTCTTTGAAGCTGCTCTTCACATCGCCGCAGCTTAAAGCAGCCACAGCCTTTGGTTTCCATCAATAAGGGATCCATGTTGGTTTAATGTAAGGACATTAAGAGGAGGTGTAACCGACCCTCCTCCCTGGCAACACAATAACACACCTGGCCATGTGTGCGTACCGCCTCCCTCTGTCACATAAGAACAGTAACAACATGGGCATGAGACTGAATAAATAGATAAAGACATAATTTTCTTCCAAGATGGCTCCTTGACCCGACAAGTCATGGCTTTAATTATCAGACTTTTGAATAAGGTGGCAGGCCCAGGTTGTGATGATTTATTATTTAGATACACGCTACTGTGCTTGTTATCAAGGTGAAAATTCACAAAAATATAAAATGCTCATATAGTAAACCTGTTTGTTTTCCCCACTTCTTGTCATACACAGCATCAGTGCTGTTTAAGTGCAATGGCAGCATATTTTGTTGGATTTAAGCAGCAATAAACTCCTCATACAACGCAGTCACCCTGCAAATTTCATTAAGAGCCTGCACAGTGGCATATATTTGTCATGCCTCTGTGATATAAGCTGAACCCGTTGTTCAACAGGTTCTGCACACACTAAAACACAAAAAAGAAGAAATGCCAATTTGGAAGACAGGCCATCGACACCCAAGGCAATTAAAAAATGTGAACCCACAGAAAACACTTGTGGCTGATTCAGCTCTGGTGAGTCACATTCAAAGAATTACATCTGTTTGTGGATCAATCAACAGGCGTAACAGAGCTGTAAACAATAATGGTGGCTGCGGAGCGCTGTCTGTGCAACCATGGCATCTGGCAAAGAGAAACTGGAAGGCATTAAAGCAAACAAAGAACAAAAATGAACTTATTAGCTAAGTGTAAACACTAGCAAGGGAAGACCTACTGGATGATCACCACTGTCTTTGTACTAAAAAAAAAAGCTATAAACTGGTGTAATTTCCATGACAACAGCTGGCACAGGAGTATGTGCCCTTTGGCAAAAATCGTCAAAAAGAGGGTGGCCACACATGTCTCGTGTTGTCTGAAGTTGAGAAGCCTCATCTGGCTTGCAAAGGGAAAATATCAGAAGGGGAGAAAAAACAACACAAATCTTCAGTTGGTGCCAATTAAATGATTATTTTTAGTAAAGAGAGGCTTGGGGCAGCGGCGTACTGGTGCTGAAGTGGGGGATACATGGTGAGCAATCCACATTTCAGTCCTCTCATGGCTTTAAAATTCCTCTCTTACTCTCACACCTCGCTTTATATGAAAGTGCCATCTTTTAATAAGGAAACATGTTGTTTTTTAATGGATTTACCTCATTGAGGAAGCGTATGAAAAGACTAGGCAATCTAATGGTTTGTCCATTTAGTCTAATTTGGTGTTAGGTTGATACTGCAGGTTAGTGCAGTGCACTGTGCCCTGCAGCAGCAGCAGCTGTGTTACTCCTCAGTTTACTATGATATAGTTTGCTTTGGAAAATACAGTAAGCATATTAAAACTACGTGTTCAGTTTGATCTTAACATTAAAAATAATCATACTTAACATAATTAATGTTAACATATTGATCAGGCATGCACTTTGTTCATGTGTTATATGTTTATATTCACTTGCAAAACAGACGCAGCTCTCCATGTCATACCCCTGACACGTGCACTTTGGTATACACTGTATGTACAGTAGATACACCCACACAGTGACTCACCTACTGGCTTACGCAGTTGCTGCAACACAACCAAAGATATTCCACTGCTTCAATAATCTGCAGTCTGATCATTTTTCAGCCATAAAGCCATTAACTATAATGGTTAAGGTAATAATCTCTCACACAGCTTATTCCAGAGGAGGATTTATAGCTTTTCAGATCATTAGACTGCTACAGAGTGTTAACTAACACTAACTTCTGGCTCCTGTTTTGATCCAGATTTTCCTCTTTGAAATGAAACATTAGTAAAGCTCAGCCGGTGTTAAAAAAAAAAAAAAAAAAAAAAAAAGGGTGTGACTGATCTCTTCCAAGAAAAATACAGTGGGGGACAAATCTGTGCAGTCAGGTTGTATAACTGACATGGCAGTGAGCCCACAATGCAAGGATTAGGTCCTCTGGAGGAAAAACTTTTGAAGCAAGATGGAAACATTGGCTCAAATTGCAGGTTTGTGTCACTTATGAGAAGTCATTACATGAACGTTAAAATATTTGTCTGGAAGCGCAGGAGGTTAAACCAATATGCCAGACACTTGACACACAGGTGAAGTTTGTTTTTATTTTGTTTTTCAGTTGTGAACAAATCAGTATATGTAGCACATGTATAATCATTAATGGCAGCAGGTTATAATGAAGCACTGGTGTGAAATCATTACCAAGGTGAATTAAAATCAATAAATATTAATAAAACATCTTTTCTATGCCTGCGCCTGTGTTATTTATGTGCTGTTTGCCATTCAAAAACTAGCACTGGTGTGACACTTGCCACCTTTCTCATTTAATACCTCTGTTTACTTCTGGACTCGTTCCGTCCAAATTCAACTGTAGTTTTAAAAAAGTGGTGTCGGCACTTTAACGCACAAAGAAAGCTACAGTTTGTTTAAATACCACATTGTTTGCAGCCCAAGGTGAAAATAATACCATAAACTATAAGGCCGCCCATAATAATATGGGTTCACATATCCAGACTGTGAGGGGAAAAAAAAAAAAAAAGTAAGGCCCATTTCATCAAGCTAATTGCCTGTTTGTGAGAGGGAGCAAACTTTTCTACCACCACTCTATTACGGAGGCTCTTTCTTAATCATAAATAGAGCCCTTGTATCCCAGAGGGACTTGCTATTCTAATTTACAATTGAACTAAAGACCAAAGCTATCAATCTTTCACAGACACTTTATTTCTGCCCCCCTTCTCTCTTGTAATTGTGGTGACATAACCATAAACAACAGAGAAAAGGCTGCTGTGACTGATCTGTGGAAATGACAGCATTAACACATGAGCTGCACATAAGCACTCCCATCCGCCGTGCGCGTGGTCGTGAGCACACAAACACACACACATGGAAATGCACATCAAGGTGGAATGAATAGTCAGGGCAAATTTAAATTGTTTTATCATGGCGTCTTCTTGGCACATAAGGGTTTTAAGGCTTAATGAATTTTACTGGTGTAAATCAAAATAATGCCAAACACAAAGGTTTTGGGGAAATTGTGCAGACACAGATACTCTTAAATAAATATTGGTGACACTTTCTTATTATAGAGGGTTTATCAGTGGCAACTACCAACATTATTTAGGGTTAATATATCAATTTCTTGACGTTAGCTTGGTAGCTAACTTAATGCTACCTTAACAGTGGATTTACTACACAGTTAACAACAAGTTTACAATGTGTACGGTGAGAAAGACACAATACTAACCAGCGAAGTTCAGAGTCTGTGTGTTTGCT